ATGTACATGACTATTCATCACAGTAGCAAAATGACAGTGATGAAGTAGCAATGAAAATAATGTTCTGGTTGGGGGTCCCCACCACATGAGGGACTGCAAGAAAGGGTCACGGCGTGAGGAAGGTTGAGAACCACTGCTCTGAAGCGTGCGGTCTCCTGGCAACTCTAAGACAAGCGTTGCTCCCTGAGCCCCGCCCCGCCCCTCAGCTCAGCCACTGCCCCCCTTTTCTCCCCTGGAGCCCTCCTCCTGAGTTCGGAGGAGGAGCGGTCCCTCTACCACTGTCCTAGAGCAGAGAGCCAGGGGATGGTCCCTCCACGTCCTTTTAAGAGTGTTAGAAAGGTTGACAAAGACGGATTGTTGTCAGCCACCATGGAGTCTGCCCGACTCACGGGCCACCACCACCCCCCCCACACACACACACACACACCAGCACGGGACGCTGCCTGGCCTCCACAGTCCCCACGATCCTTGTGTCCTTGTGTTGATGTTGCAGCCACTGAGTGTTCAGTACCTGGTGGCATAGGGGGCTCGTCCCCAGCTCTGTGTGTTGTGATCCACAGGTTCTTCACCATTTGGGGACTTCAGTTGCCAGGCCTTTCTTCCTGGTCTGTCCGAGCCTGTCAGCCTCCTAGGCAACACACAGGGCGATGGGTGGTGGCTCTGTAGAGAGGCACTGGCTGGGAATTGAGCCCAGGTCTCCCACGTGGGAGGTGAGAATTCTACCTCAGGTCCACGACTGCCCTTGATGAGTCAAGCACAGGGAGCTAGCTGCAAGCACGGGTTTTCAGATTCTCAGGAGAAATCAGTGCAGTCAGCTCTGGGTACTATCAGGTACAGATGCAGATCGGCCCCCTTAGGGTGCCCCCCACCTGGCTCATTTCACTCGTATCTGAGCATGAGACCTGTAGTTCAGAAAACTCTGTGGAGAAAACGGGTCTCAAACTGGGCTGCATGAGGATGAAGGAGTGGGAGAGATCTGTCTCCTGTCCCAGGAGACTGGAAGAGCTACAATTACCAAACTGTTTTCTCTCAAATGCGATAAAAGAATCCTGATCTGAAAGTGAGGGATAGAGAAGAATCACACATTCCCGTGGGCTCCAACACTCTGGGGGCACGGAGGCTGGAAGGACACCAGGAACTCTTGCCCTGTGATCATCCGTACAGCTTACAGCTCCGAAACTTTCCCTGGGAGTCAGCCTCGACCAGACAACCCAAACCAACCTCGCTGCCATCAGTCGATGCAGACTCACTGCGGCCCGACAGGACAGGGCAGAACTGCCCCATTGTGAGCTTCCAACACTGTTAACTCTTTACGGTTGTCGAAAGCCTCCTCTTCCTCCCATGGAATGGCTGTGGTTGCAAACTACAGGCCTTGAGGTTAGCAGCCCCAGCGCTTAACCACGATGCCAGCAGAGCTCCTTGAACCAGACAACAGTTGAGCCTGATTAGGGAGGTGCAGGCATACGTCGTTTTCTTGAGCCCCACAGAGACCGAGTGGTTTTGTTTTTACATATTGGTGGTGAGTGGCAACCTTTCATTAAGCAAGTCTACGAGCACCATTTTCCCAGCGGATGTTTTGTGTCTCCGTCGCGCTTTGGTCATGTAGACACGGTTTCCAGCATTTTCATCATGCTACTGCACGCTTTCATAGGCGATTCAAAGAGCCAGACTCACTGCCTGCTATCCAGTCAGCGCTGGCTCAGAGCGAGCCCCTGTGGGTTTCCGAGACTGTAACTGTTTACAGGAGTAGAAAAGCCCAGTCTTTCTCCCTTGGAGCTGCTGGTGGTTTTGAACTGCCGACCATGCGGATCGAAGCCCAAAGCGTAACCACTATACCACCAGGGCTCCTCTTCATAGGTGGCAGTCTGGCATAGACACGGATTCATTTACACCAGGAAACCAAAATCCACGGGGCTCCCCGTAGGGCGGCCTGGGCTTTCTTGCTGTGGCCTGAGACCCGGACACAGTGTCCCCGGGTCAGCCGGGAGCAGTGTGCTTTCTCAAGGACTGATATCCGAGGGATCAAGTTGACAACCGCGTCTCAAAGGGTAAGACACTTACAAGCAAAGACGCGACGCTAGCAGTGGTGGGATGATTTAGATGAGGTTGTGAGAAGGGTCATACAACTTGAAGGAGGTAAACCCTGTCACTGAATTCTACATGCAGCCTTGGCGGAAAACATGTTTTTGCTGTATATTCTCTTTCTCACACACACACACAGCTGCACCTTGCCACCCTCTGAGAACTCCGCCCCCAAATCCTGCGTGGTGTGGTAGCAGTCCTCAGGCCTGGACAGCAGGCTTCTGAGGCCCCCACCCACCCATCCTCCCAGCCCTGCCCCTCCTCCTCCAAGTCTGAGAAGCAGGGGCCTGGAGAGTTCTTTGGTTGGGTCCGGGCTTAAGGTATTCGGCATTTCATTCACTCATTGGCTCCTTCATTCATACCTGTAGCCCGCCGCCATCGCTTCCCCTTCCGAGGGCTAGAGGGTCCCTAGGTGAGCCAGGCCCCCACCTGCCTGTCCCTGAGAAGTTCCCGGTTTCCCTCCTCCTTTCCGATGTGGATGTTTTCTTTCTTTCTCTGTCTCCTTTCCATCTTTTTCCTTCCTTCCTAACTCCCTTCTTCCTTCCCTCCCTCTCGCCCTTGGGTCCTCCTTTGCATATCTCTCTCGCCCAGGAGTGGGAACCTCTGGCCCAGGAAATCCCTGATACCAGCTAACATCGCAGCCTCACCAAAGCGCAGCAGTTCCAGCCACCCCGTTAGGGGCACGTTGATGACATGCTTGACCTTGAGACCTGCGAGTGATGTTCTATAGATCCCCATGGCCCTTGGCAGGAGCAAGGCTCCCCACCGCTGCTCGGCTGAAACGTCCAGAACAACTGCACGTTGTTGTTTTCTGTTGCTGTCAGAGGATTCTGGCTCAGCAGGCGGCTAAGCCTTTCTTTCAAGGGTGGATTCAAACCATCCACCTTGTGGTGGCACTTAACCATTCAAATCTCCATGGGACGCCTCGAGAGCTGTGGGTTTAAAAAGCTGCACCTGTCTCCTCCGCTCCAAAGTGCATGGAGAAATCTGGGTTCAGGTCCAGAGGCAGATTCTGAGCCCCCACTCCCCCCCACCCCCCACCCCCGCAGGATGGGTGGAGCCTGGGAGTCTGCCTCTCTGCCACTGTGAGCCTGAGGACCACACTCTGAGCCCCGCCCCTGCTCAGGGTTCTCACCAAAGCCTGCCCCAGAAAACGTGTCTCCCAGGTAACACAACCCATCCCAGCCTTACAAATGAGAGGCTTGGCAAGGTGCCCTAGGTGCTACCGCTGACTATCTCTAAAAGGTCCTCACGGGAACCAGGAAAGGGGAGGCTGGGATACCTTTTACAAAGGACCCATTCACAGAGGCGCAAACCAAGGCAGAGGAGAGTGGTGAGGTCACGGACCTGCACACTGGGCAGAACGAACGATTCACGCTGGACTACTAACTAAAGGTGGGGAGGTTCAAGCCCACAGCGAGGTGTCCCTTCCGCCAGCCACGGGGGCCTCAAGAGTCACTGCTATTGAATCTTGCCGAGCCTCTGTGTGCCCCGTGAAGAAAGGAGAGGGTGGGGCTGGGCGGGAATTGTCAAGCTAGGCAGGCTACTGAAGTCACTGGGCGTGGGGTGGTTGGAAAACGCTCATGCATAGGTCCTGCCCCAGATATTCAGATTTGGGGGTCTGGAGTGGAGCCCAAGCCTGGGGGAAAAGAGGTAGAGTTTAAAGCCCCCAGGTGGAGAGTAGCAATACCAGGAGGGGAAGGGGAAGGTGGGGGAGAAAGGTCTACCTATAACCCCCTCCCTGGGGGACGGCCAACAGAAAAGTGGGTGAAGGGAAACATCCGAGAGTGTAAGACATGACAAAATAATAATAATGTATAAATTATCAAGGGCTCATGAGGGAGGGGGGAACAGGGAGGGAGGAGAAAAATGAGGCGCTGATATCAAGAGCTCAAGTCGAAAGCAAATGTTTTGAGAATGATGATGGCAACAAATGTGCTTGACACAATGGATGTACAGATTGTGTTGACAGTTGTACGAGCATCCAATAAAATGATTCTTAAAAAAGATGCTTTTTCCCCCCACAAATGATTTGAAGCCTTATCTATGTAAGTTATGAAGAATCATGCTAAAGAAATTAATCATAAAATATGATAATATCCCCCCCAAAAAACAAAGCCCCCAGGTGATATCAGGAACAGGTACGTGTAAAGCAATGTTGTCAGCAATGTTGTTCACAATAACCAAAAGGTGGAAACACTCAGATGGCTCTCGGCAGACGAAAGGATGAACACAGCGTGGTCCACCCACACAAAGGAATTCAGCCAGAAGGAAAAATGAAGTGCTGATAGATGCAGCCATGGGCGGACCTCGAGAATATTAGGATCCAGTTAAATACAATTTCCAGGATTTCCAGACAAGTGCATACAGACAGCTGGAGCTCTGGGGCTGGAAGGAGGAGGAGAGCTAAGGACAAAACACAAAAGAGCTCGCTTCCGTTGAGTCCACTCCGACAGACAGAGACCTGATGGGTCAGACTGGAACAACTCAACTCCTGCGGCTCCCGAGACTATAGCCTCACCTTCCTCCTGCGGAGAGGCTGTTGGATTTGAACTGCTGACTTTGCAGTTAGCAGCCCAACATCTAACCAGCTACACCACCAGGCTTCTTGAGGAGAGGAGGGAAGTAGAGCACTGTATTGCTTAAGGACTCGTTTCTCTTTGGGGCGATGAAAACTATTTTAGAAATCGATGGTGCTCATGTTTGCACCACATAGGGAATATAATCCACGCCACTACGTTGTACACTTTTAAATGGTCAACGTGGCAAATTTTGTCATCTACCTTTTTACCATGTTGGTAGCTGGGGGGGGGCTCTCAAAAGCTTTAAATGTGCAACCAAGGATGGGTACCCTAAATTGTTTCACCTTTGGGGGAACCTTCAGACTCCCACACTTTTCAAACCCAAGCCACACTCACTGCCATCAAGTCGACTCTGACTCATAGCAGCCTCCAGGTCAAGGTGGAACGGACGGTCCCGGTGGGTTTCCAAGGCTGGTGATCTTGATGGAGCCGAAAGCCTCATCTTTCTCCCAAGAAGTGGCTGGTGGGCTCCAACTGCTAGCCTCGTGGTTAGAAGCCCAGCGTGTCGCCCACGGTGCCGCCAGAGCTTCCCGCTGCGATGATTTACTCTTGCAGTAATCTCCTGATGCTCCTGCAGGTACCCAAAGGCCCAAGTCCTGGCTTTTAGGGCCTCTGTGAAGCAGGGCTCCTGCCTTCCTCTGCATTGCGGGTTCTGTGGGTCACTTGATGGCACAAAGGGTTCTCTCCTGGCTACTTACCTACAGGTCATACGTTGAAACCCACCCCAGGGCACTAAAAAGGCAGGCCTGACCATCGATTTCCATAAAAATTACAACCCAGAAACTCTATGGAGTTCTACCCTTTAACATAGGGGGTCGCCAAACATCAGGATCACTTCAAAGGCAGGGGGCTTGGCTTAGTTTTAATGGGTTCTGCACTCACCCGGGGGCCTGGCCAGGGCTACCAGGAGAGCCTCTCCAGGCAGGAAATACAGCCTACAGTCACACACAGTACACAGCTTATTTTGTTTTGCAAAGTGGCTGCTCTCCAGAATAGCTTTTAAAGACGTAGGTTCCGGCAAGTAGGTAGGGGTGAAAGAAAAAGAAAAGAAAAGAAAAAGCACACACAGTGAACAACAGCCAAAAAAAAAAAAAAAGCAAAGGAGAAGATAACTCTATCTGCATTAGACCAGATGCAGCCAGCGCAGTGAATCACTTAATACGGCACGGTCTTTGG